CTGAACCAATTTCAATGACACCTTATAAGATGTCACCTTCTGAATTAGTTGAGTTAAAGAAATAATTAGAAGAGCTGCTTGAAAAACAATTTATACGCCCTACCTTGGGGGCTTCTGTCTTGTTAGTTAAAAACAATTTATTCAATCCAAAAAGCATGTTTTCATGGACTCCTGCCTGATATTTTAGTTTCATATAATAAATATTTACTTCTTAATAAATATTTATTAAAAACTAAATACATACTAGTTTTTAATAAAACTAGAAAATATATATTCACAAAGTTTGTAGTTTGAAGTTTTTTTTTCCTTTGAGATAGAAAATTCAAAGGCTTGTAAACCCTATTAAAATTTTCTACAAGATCAAACAACTACCAACAATGATTAAAAAATGGAGCGGTTTACTATCCCAACAATTTAATTGACAATTTTTTATAATGTTCTTATCTTTATAATCGATAATGGAACCTTTATGCTTCAAAATTCATTCCAAACCTAATGATTTAAGATAAGATTTTACCAATAAAAAAATGAACCTTTTCCTTTTGTTTAGAATAGAATATGGTTGAAATTCAACAAAGTGAACTGTGTTGGGCATGTACATTCAACAAAGTTCCAATAAATAAAGTCCAAGGTTGACTGTCCTTGTGCCACGTGTCTGACACACATGAGACCGACTGGGGTTGTGGTTTCAGCCCCAAGTTCAAGCAGTTATCCTTGTATTAGGTTTCTTTGGCATTTAGTAGATGGATAAAATTTATATATGCTATCATAGATATTATTATATTTTTTAATTAAAATTGAAGTTTTATTTTAATAATATTATTAATATTTAATAAAAAAACATTAGAATTAAATGTGTTTTCTCTCTCAAATATTATAATTTACGTGATTTTGATCTAAATAATTTTAATAATTCAAGTATTATAATTATGCAATTTTAGTTTCTTTTACTAAAAATTTAATAATTTTTATTAATGCAAAACTAATTGATGATATGATATATCAATATTTTTATTTATTTTTTTTCTAATATAAATATCTTATATAATACTTATATAATATGTATAAATTTTATTTATTTACTAATAATATATATCACTTAATACATGAATGAAAATTATAATATATAACTTAAATAACTTAATAATTGTATAATTTTAAAATATTATATTATATGTATATATATATATTTTAAAATTTTAAAATTATTAAATTTTTAATCAAAGTAACTAAAATATATAATTATAATATTTGAAAAATTAAAATTATTCAATTTATGAAAGATTAAAATTTTATAATTGTGATATTTGAGAAACTAATTTTTTTTAATTAAAATTTTAAAAATCAAACTCATATAATTACAACATTTCTTCCACTCCACAAGGATCACAATTTTAATATTTGAAAAATATTTTAAAATAAAAAACATTTTTATTTTTCAATGTAATATCAATTTTTTTTTTCATAATTTACTCTATCATTAATTATTCAATTATCATAATAAAAAACAATGCATTTATTTAAAAAAAAAAACTATTTTAACAAAATTATATATAAAAATACATTTATCGTTGACTTTAATCTATATGCAATTATAATACGGAAGGAAGGAGTATATAGAAGTAAGTTTCTAAATTCTATTAATAACACTTATAATACTCCTAAGTTTTATCCATTAGTCTATAGTCACCTACCCTCAAACTAGGTCTCTTTATCTCTTCTCTCTCAGGTTATTGTTGTGCACATGCTTTGCTGCGTCAAAACCCAACAAGATTATAATGGACCCACCCACACAATTTCAAATCCAGACATAAATCAAGGACTCTTTTTTCTTTGTTATCTGTATTCTATTCTGATAGGGAAAAAGCTATTAATTAAATAATGACCACAATATATATATAATTTTTAAAAAGATACATGGTTTATCTTTTAATTTTTTTTAAAGATAATAGAGATAATGAGATTTCTAAAAGATTTTTTAATAGTATATAAGTCCTTAAATTTTAACTTAGTTGTGTAAGTTAGTCTTTCTGTTACACTCAATTATTATCTTAAACAATTAATAGTTAAATATTAGGTTGAAACTCGTTTTCTCTCTGGATATCATCTCTCTTATAATGCAAAGTTTGGATACTTTTCAATCATCAACAAACACTTTGTCATCTTTACATATTTTGTTTATGAGTGTTTTAGTTAAAATGGAAGGTAGTTGTTGAGTTTTATAGGGCTCCCTATAGTTGAATTTTTCTCTCTTAATTATCTTTAACTTTTTCGTCTATTTTACTACAATTAGGATTGTAAACCTTAAATTATTGAATTTAAGGATTAGCAAAATGAGTAGTTGTTACCTCAATTGAATTTAAATATTTTTGTTATGTTTAATGAATTATAAAACTCTTCTAGTTAGAATTGAAAAGAACTTAATGATAATGGTCCTCTCTGTTAATCGGAAGAAAGAATATGTATCATTGTGACAATTAACTATTAATAAGTTATGAAACATACAAAATTAGTAACTAAGTATAATGAAAAGACTAACTTATATAATAAAGTTAAAATTTAAGAATTTAAATGTCACAAAAATCTTTTGAGGGCCTGTTGGTCACCTCTATCATCTTTTTAGATCAAATTAAGTGTTTATTCAATTTTTAATATTAATTTTGACATGATTTTTTTTTTAAAACTTCTTCCTTGTTATTTAAAATATTCTCACAAATTTTAGAATTTTTTTTTATAAAAAATTTGCTATAAAACTAATAATCACTCTAAAATTTAGTCAACTTTTTCGCCTCTTTTCAAATATATATTATGTGGAAATTTAAAACATTTTTCTCTCCTAATTTCAGTGTGTTATTAAATTAGTTGCACACATATTAAATATTAAAAGAGTTTAACTCAATTGATTGAACATAGTTGTATAAATGTAGTAAATTTTATATATCAATTTTAATTCTTCTGGAAGAAAAAATGAGTTGCACATATAAATCTTAATTACAATTTCAAGTTAACTTTGATTTTATATTTTTCTTCCAAAAAGTATATACAATAATTGCATTATTTTTGGTATATATAATAGTAATAATATGAAAACTAATAGGCATCTTTAAAGTTTAAATAGTGACGTTCCCTAAATGAAACAGTAAACTAAACATATGAGCCGACAATCCCGAAGATTAGAAACGACTTTATACGACAAGAAATCCAAAGTTTTATGATGATGTTAATAAACCAATAATATCACTCACTCATCCTTATTAAAATATTTTTAATGTCATATAGTATGCAAATAGTATATTCCTTATTATATGCTCCCATCCTCCATATGTATATATACGTCAAAATATTCTATCATTAATTAATGAAAGTTTTTCTCTAATATGATTTTTAAAATGATTATAATAATAATTAACAGTTTTTTTTACCAGAATAATTAACAGTTTTATTACATATAATAATGTAAAACATGTATTATATAGCATATAGTATATGTAAGATGGTCAAAAATAGTTGGTATATTAGATTGATAGCATTTATTTGGAACTGACTTTAGACCCAAAAGAACAAACCAAGGACCGACTTCTACGACACTGAAATCAACCAAAACCATCCCAATCGAATTGAATGAAAAATCAATAATAAATACAATAAAATTTTAATTTTTAATGTAAGAAATACCAAGGTTTTATTCAGAAACAAATATACTTTTTTTATATTTCTGAAAGAAAACTTTTCTAGTTTTCAATGTTATACCTTATTCTAATAATCAATAAAGTCTATCCAAATTAGTTGAATAAGATAATGTTATAAACTCTTCGGTACTAAGTTTAATTTACATAGTATAAAATATATAACATTTTGACATGCAATTTATTTTCTAATGAATATTTTCTTCTAATGAAATCAGTAAGTTAAATTTTCCCAAATGTATATCCTATAAATGTGTATATGTGACTAAGTATGAGTACTAATAAAAGTAGCTTTAAGTTGAACCATTCCAAGTTCCAACTATAATAGGGATATGTGAAAATTTGTGAATATAGGAATTAATTTCTAGCCAGTTCGTCCAAGAAAAATTAAGAGGACATGATATTTAGTACATATACCAATATTGTGACTTTAAATATAAATTGAACTAATTGTTTTCTCTGCAACAATTACAATTGTAGTACGACACCTGCCACGGGGACAATTATTTTATCCTTTAGATGCGATACATTTCTGCAAATCTGCAATCACTTTAGGTGTTAATAGTTCTTGAGGTTTAGTTCCATTGTCCAGGTTAAGTTTTACTCCATTTCTTTTTGATCGTTAGATTTTTAACAAAAAATATTTCTATTTGCCTGTCGTTTACAAAGCTAAATATAACATTCTTTTAATTCTTCCCTTATCCCATTAATTATTTCACATTTTTTAATAATAACAAAAATCAGTATATTTCGAGATGTATATGTATTACACAGATTAAAAAATGGAATGATTTACATTCATCGTGATACTGGCATGACACTATAAATGAAAAAAAAAAAATAGTTAAACATGATTTGGGCACAATTTTTTCCTTTTAATTTTTGTCACCTAATCTAAGAAACAATTTTTCCACCAAAATATTTTTTTTTATATATTATTTATTCATTTTTATTATATTTGAACACAACATTAACATTACCTCCATCCCTATACATAACTCTTCACTTTTTTGCTTGTCTCTTATTAAAAGACCCCTTTTTAATTGTCGGATGCATTAATTGTTTCATTTCTAAAATATTCTTATTTAATTAATACTTTTTTAAGACGAAAAATAATAAATGTTTGACATTAATTAAATAAAAACTTTCTTATTAAAATTGAAGATAAATAGACACAAATATATCTTTCTCTTTCAAAAGTGAAAAATGATTAAGTGAAAAGATTAAATGAGAATTTAAAAGCTGTTAAAAGTAATTTTTAAAAAGTGGTTTAAATTATTGAAGAACAAAATAAAAACAGATAGACATCTTTGCAGTAAAGTTTATAGATGTCAAGTTTTGAAAAGTTAAACAACGGAAATCTAACTGATTTTAGTTTATCCAAAATAATAATTGGTAGCTTAATTCGTAAAGTTAAGTAAATAGCTTTCTCCAAGACCATAGAGGTCAAAAAACGCACTAAATAATGTTTGATTCATGATCTCTCCCCTGGTGCTAGTGCTAGTGCAGAATAACTCGTCATCAGAAGAAAAACACGAGAAATTCTAACAAGTCACTTAGCAAATCATCCGAAGCATTAAAATCTACCTTCATCCAGACAAGTATGTCATAGCAAACACCAATATTTACGTAAGTCACAATCACAAACGCTTGGGAGGGATATATTGCACACGTTCGTCTTCACATATGGTCTGCAAATAAACAAGTAAATAAATAAACCAAATTCATGTGGTGCAAAATAAGATGATATATAAGCCAAAATAATCACATCTCATGGCAACACTAACAACATATTACCATTTCATAATGGAACAATTATTACTTAAATAACCTCATTCTATTCGCCAAACATAATAATCACTCAAGCAATTTATAAAAATCCCAACTCCAAGGCTACACTGCAAATTCAGATTTTCCCTTGCAGTATTTTGGATTTCAGAATCAAGATTTTCAACGCATACAACAAACAAGCCAACTTAAATCGCCATACCCAACCAGGTGAACTAATGATAAAAGGCACAACCTACGAGGAAGTCCACAAAAAATTGCTGGTTATGAGAAGAAAGTCAAGCATGAAATGCTTTATTAATTAGAGACTACAAGTAACAGACCATTTCAAATAATGAGTTCACAATTTCACATGATAAATTAAAGTTTACAGTGATTCCTGCTACAAAATTCAAAATCAATTTCATATAAATTGAAAGAAAATTTAAGACTGCTTCCCTCATACCATAGTTGTTACTTGTTAATCCCGAATAGCAGTGCAGAGTAACTGACCCATAAAACAGACAAGATAGTGGATAGCGGGATAGCCACAATATTAAAGATAATCAAAAAATGTAATTTATACTAAACATGTATAAATGAAAGAACAATTAACAAGTCATGTCTCGACACACAATCACCATCAATATAAAGGAATAATTAACGAGACTGAAGCTGCAGACTCTTCTGGGCTGGTTGTGACTGAGACAATGCCATGACTACACTACACCAAAGAGGGGCTGGAATTAACAATTAAGAACAAAAACAGACAGAACGGAGGTCGAACAGGATGTGTCTCACAGCAAGAAATAAATTCAAGATTGAATCATGGAAGCTGCAACAAGAAAAAGGGCAGGACTGCAAGTATGAACAACGAACAGAGCTCAAAAGAAGGTGTGGGCTCAACAGAAGTTAAGAGGCTGCCCAAAAACATATATTGGGACAACCAGGAAAGCAGGGAGCTTTGCTAGAAAGAATTGTCTACCGGAGAGTCCTTGCACTACCAATGACAGAAGGCAAAAACTTATGCTACGGTTTACTGTTTTCTCTTGTTTGTAAGAGCTGTATCAGCTCCTTTTTCTATTTCTAATAATACAATCAGACCTGAAGCATTCCAGGGTTCTATTATTGGTCCTACCTGCCGGATGCTGCAGAGCATATTTTTATTATCGACCAAGATTTCAGGTAAAGTAAGGGTGTGAAGGTTAATCTAACAAGGAGGGTATAATGCATGACCGACTATCTTTTTAATTGTCTTATAATTAGCAGTATAATCTCACAAGTCCCTTAATCATATATTGGTTGTCAAAATCTTGCACGAACTCATTGTTGATAGCTACAGATCACCAAATGGCATGCTGAATCACTTCCACGGGTGGATTGCTCCAAGATTCTTGACTGTTGAAGTGCACTCCACAAATTTGTATGTAATCAAACTGGGTTGGGTCAAGCAACCCATTTTGAATATTAAAAAAAATGCCCTTTTCATGATCTAATTGCCGTGCAACTCTTTCTTAATGCTGGATTCACTCTATCAATCTCCGCTCTTC